AATACCGCTCACATTTTTTGAAAAATAGACGCGAATGTATGGACATGTATGGACATGTACGGACATGTCCATACATGCGCGTCTATTTTTCAAAAAGTATGAGCGGTATTGTATGTCACTTAGGTGTGTTCTCACTTTTCTTTTTATAGTATGGTCGCGATGGTATGGTCGCGATACAATAAGAGAAAAAATGTGATTAAAAGTGTTTGTATTCGTGTTGAAAAAGTTGAAATTGTGAAACTAATATTGTTTGTAAGCTGATGTGCACAAAGGTAAACTGTCGATATCCCAGTTGTAATACATTCTTTAAGCTGTCGACCAAGATTGGTAGCAGGATTTTATTACGAGATAAGCCAGCGTTGGAGTTCCGTCCGCCTTCATCAGGGTTTTCTGAAAAATCGAAACTTTGAGAACTGCCTCCCAATAGACCACTCCTGATTCCATGCAATCGCCTGGTTTTCCAACACTCAGATAATAAAATCGGCGATTGTGAACATTCTCTCATGCGCTCGATTGCGGCTTAGTTGTTTTTGAGATTGAGAGTAGATATATCTATAACTTTGAAGGAATCATCGAGGCTCACTTGAAACACAGATTTCTGTTAACTCTGCTAAATAGCTCTGCATCAAATACGAATGGAACACATTGAATGGAACACAAAACGGCATTTTTGTTGTCTGGTTCATTTCGATCAATATCTTCAGCACTCTGATACAGTTTGTAAAAAAGCATATCACTAGAAATCTCACTCTCATTCATCGTCGGGGTTTCCGTGAACTTCATAATCCATGCACTAAAAATGAAGTAAGAAAATCAACCGAGATAAGGAATGGGAATTCGTTGTGATGACGCGTAGCTTAGATAAGGCCTTAACCGCACACCATTTTGACGATAGCACTCTGTATTGCGCTTCTTTCAAACAAGGCTTTGTAAAACAAAGCCGTCGTCTGAAAAGAATGTGGATAAATAGCGAACTCTATCGGCTTACCTAAAACTTTATCGCATCTTAAGATCGCTTTACCCAAATGCCTAGAACTTTACATGCTAATAAAGACACACAAACTGCTTGCGCCAGAGTTTTTCTCTGGAAGTCCATAGACTAACAAAGTAAGACCCATTAAAAGCAGCTGCTGTGGCCCGGATGATAGAATCCCATGGCTGTTGTACTTGATCATAACACATTTACTAAGGTATGTGTTTTTGTTAATGGAGAATGTGCGATTAAGACTTTAGATGTCACTTTTTGTACACAAATGTCTCCGAGGATGATGCTAAGGAAGCCGTGTATGAGCTACTCTCGGAACACCAATCTGCTCACAACATGTACGGGTTCAGTGTTGGACAAATCATGACACTTTTGAAAAAGCCTGAATTGCAGCATAATCCGCTTCAAAAAGGTATTACAAGCAGGTACGTGGCCTAGCGGTGGAGCATATGCTTTGGTAATCTGAATGACCAATCCCCTAACATAAGAGTCATGCGGGATAAACCCGATGAAAATTGGCTAGCATTCCGAAACGGATTTTATCTTACGGATCATACGTAACTAAATGGTTCCGCAAACGAGTTAATAAGAATATATTGATTACTACCGCTTTGCGTAGCCTTGGAGTATTAAACAGTTCGTGATAGGCAACATGTTCAAGACAGCAAAATCGGTCTCAACCAACGTTGAACAGCGCAACACTCCATTGATGAATCTTGCCAGAGAGATTGCACATTCTAACAACTATCCCGCGAAGGTGCACTAACGCATACATATAGGCAAGAAAGCATACCGATCGAAATGAACCAGGCAATAAAAATACAGATTCGTATTCTATTCTTCGTATTTAACAATTTTAGCAGAGCAATCAGAAAATCTTTGTTTCAAGCTGGCCTCGATGATTCCGTTAGCGTTATAGGCATCCCTAATCCTAATCTCAAAAAAAAACAAAGCCGCAACGAGTGTATGACAGAATGTGATCGACCGCCAATTGTATCATCTGAGCTTTAGAAAACCAGGCGACTGCATGGAATTAGGAATGTTATATCTCATAAACTGTAAAAATGCGGTGACCTATACATAGAAGAGACCGGCGGACTCTTGTGCACAAGAATCAAAGGGCATCTTGACGGCCTAAGAAAATCCAAAATGCCCACACCTTTGGGTGCACGTCGAAGGTTATGTCACGAAAACCAGTATTATCAAATCACTGTTACGATCTTCTCGCACGAATTCGAGTTAGTAGCCCGCAAATCATTGGAGGTCTTTTGGATAGCGTCTAAACCACCAAAAATGAACCGCAAACATGAAGGCATTGCCATAAACAGCGAACCGTTTCCTATCAGACACTATGCGGATTCTGATACGAAATTTTTTACAATTATGTAGAGGGCCTCCACTCGATTATTAATAAATCTTGGCATGATATGGATATTCGTATATGTTCACTCTAGCCAATCACCAAGATTGCAACACGATTTATTCAGTGGGGCGATTTATTCAGTTAGGGTTCGGGTGCCTACACCTTCGTCGGAGCTTGGAAGGTCGTAGACATCAGTGCTTTGTTCTCCCGAACACCTCGTTCAAGCCAAAGCTATTAGCATCAGGTCAAGCCGAAAGCCGTGACGGAAACCGTCGCCCATGCTCACCTTGGCAGTCTTCTAATCGGAGTTGAGCCACCACCAAACACAGCGTCTGCACAGTAAGTAGTAGTAGAGAAAGTACAAGTGCCTTATATAGATGAATCTAAACTAAGTGCAGATCAAATCCGCAAAAGGATTGATATGCAATTAGATAACAATTTATGGCAAAGCCCTCTTCCTTGCGGTTCATTGTAGGAGCTTTGGATGTTATCTAAATACTTCTAGCATTTACCGAGGAATTACTTCGGGTTCACGCGTTAAGATTGTGACAACTATATTGAATTGTTGATCCGAGTGATCCTCTCTGCGATGTGCGCCTAGTAAGGAGTGGGAGACTTAGATTTTATAAGGCCATCTACTCAAATAATCGCAGAGGGCAGGAGGTCCGCAAACTCGCGCTTTTCTGCAAGCGGTCAGCACAATTTTGGGGCATGGCCAAACTTTCAGCGAGCGCTACTTCCTTTACTGTGTTTTGCCAGCGGGTAGCAAAACAGAATTTTCTACGGGCGCTCGTCAAATAATCTCTTTCAGCGAGCGCCGGTCAAATTTTCAGCTGGCGTTCGGACGGTTTTTAAGCAGTTTCGGGCGTACGCCGAGCAAATATGAGACTCTACATGGCAGAGGTATCATCGATGGTTCAGTTACTCAAGTTTGAGGTACTTTCTCTCAGCGGGAAGTACCTGGGGACTGCGCGGTCCTTCCCAAAGGACCGTGCGGCCTTCGAAAATTTTGCATATTCTCGCGGAAAGTCCGCGAGAATGCGGCCACTGCACCGCTGCTAATCTATAAAGAAACCGCGGTTGTTCTCCAAGCATTCGTCCAACATCTCGTTAAAATTTCTCCAAATATCGGCAAGCGGACCGCAAGAAATCAGTGAACAATTTATCCGGTGCCCGCCCGCCCTTAAATCGCATGGCAGCCTGTCCCCGGCGATTATCTGAGTAGGTGCTCTTGGATTCTCAACAAAGAGGCCTGCCAGTTTCTCCTATGTATTCTTTCCCGGAAGTTTGACAAGTTATTTTATAAACTACTTTTGCCTCCATGCAATCGCCTGGTTGACCAAATGCGCATACGACGCAATCGTTACTCATGCATAGTCGATCGTGAGAGCGATTACGAATTAGTTGTTTTCTAAGACTAGGAGGCGGAATATCTACAAGTCTGACAGAGTCTTTGAGGCCTTGTTCTAAGCTTTTTCTTATCGCTTTGCTGAATTTTTCAGATAAAAAGGAGCACAAAAAGGTATCTTTGCTTCATTCTTACTTGTACGCGGTCTGTATTCTTGCCAGGTACATTTCGATAAATGCTTTAGGTAAACACTGGACTGTGCAATCTGTCTGGCAAGACTCAGCGATGGAAAGCGCTCTTGATCGAAAGAAACTGTCTTGGCAGTCCTAAACTTATTATAGATTACCGAACTTTTTGTGCTCCAAGGGTGGGCCGAGAGATAGTGTATCAATATATTTTTGCTACTTAGTTTTCGAAACCACTTGGTCTTTTACGATTCATCACGCAACTGCATTTGGACGTTGAGAAATGGCAGCCAGTTTTCGCTGGGCTTCTCTCGTGTAAAGTTTATATTAGGGGATTGGTTGTTTAGCAAATTGAAGCAAGTGTCTAGCTCGTCTTACGTCGCGCACACTATACATTAATCACCTATATAGCGGCAATAAAGTACGTACTGGTTTGCGCGCAAGTACGGAGCTCGATTTTTGACATTTAGGCAATGGCAACGACTGGTGCCAGCCTTCGGCCCATCGCTAATCGCCTGATTTGCTTATTGTAGCCCACACCATCGAAATATGCTGCAGTTGAGGCATCCTTTCAAAAGTACCATCACCTGCCGGATATGAAAGCCGTACATGTTGATGGAACAAGGTGTTCGTATATCTCTAAACCGCTTCCATAGCCGCTTCGTTCAATACGTTCGTTTATAATGAAGTGACATCGAATAATTCGATGACACATCCTATACTTAGCGGTGCTTCACTTGCTCAAGAAAAACATGCTCGTATTCGTTAGATGTAAATTAATGATTTATAATCCATATTCATGTAAAGAGCATTCTTAATGCTGACTATCATACTCACTCATAGCGCAGCTGCAGCACAGTACTGGTTGTTAGGTCTCTAAATCCCTATCTGACAAGGGTGAAGTCATGTTTTCGACATCTATTCTTCCACTCCATCATATAGCTAAACTGAATCTATTGCCGAAGAGGGCATTTGAGCAAGCAGTTCTCAAAGTCTCGATCTTTCAAGAAGCCATGTGGAAGACGGACGGATTGCCGAAACTTTGGCTTATCGCGTAATAGAGTCTTGCTACCAACTTTGTTCGAAGCTTAAAGGCTGTATTACAACTTAAAACACAATGCCAAGGTTTATCGACAATCGAGCACGAAATATCAAGTTCTCTTTCGTCCCCATAGTCCCATGAATGCAATGTTGTTGTTAACCGTTTTCTTAACTTCCGCAGGCCACATGACAATGTCTTTCCATCTTTTGAGTCCTTGAGAGGCTGATTGCCAGGGGTTGAAGCATTCACCAACGTCCACAGCAAAGAGAACCTATGAGCATTGAATTAATGTACATCAGTAAATCTAAGGAGTAAGATGGCAAACTAAGTCATGTCTTGCTTGGTCAACGTACCATTAAGATGGTAAGTAACAAGAAGGTAAGGTTGAAAATTCTCATTTTTGTCGAAGTGACGTAAGTCGCTGGAAGAAATTTCCTGAGAAAGTGAGCATAGAGTTTTTGATGAAACGACGAACAAACGAAATTCTTTGACATAAAACAGAGAAACAAATGGGGTAGGGAACTATATGTCGCGAAGGTCTCGCCGGTCTGCGACAAATACACCTTTTACTCAGACATTCGCGGTTAAGTCCCGCAGGAGATCCGCCCACAAAATGAAAATTCGCGTGAAAATCGGGAGTCTTGCGCGACACTCGGACTCTTTCGTTATCCCGGCAGTTAAATAGAAGCGGGAGATTATCGGGAGACCCACTTTCGGGGTACGCGGGTTTTTCAGAATGTATGGTGTGTTGAGATTTCTGTTTGCGATATAGTGTTTCAGACGTTAAAGCAAGAGAGAATATTAGCAACACGTGTGCACAATTTTTGGGACATTTAGTCTGGCGACCTAATGTTATACCACAAAGTAGAAGGCAGTTTTTGCCGCGACCTCGCACCATTCGAAGTATTTTCGCAAATTTTGAGGCCCGCGTATGCGGTATCTGTTTCCAATTTCATTTTTTCGATATTCTTTCCTTGGTTGTCTTAGGTTTTGATATAGTTTTGTGGCGTGATTGCATCAGCTGCTACTCATTAACTATCATAATTTAGGTGTTGCTGCGGGATGTTTCACTTCGTATCTGACATAGCTTATGGTTTTTATGGAAACTATTGAAAAGTCATATTTCTCTCCATATGCTCTCAGGTTGCGCTTTTTCGAATCGCATTTTATACATACGGGTAAATGAAGACGAAACCAGATGGACATAAAGTAAATTGAGGGATTTTCGAGAATCTTCGCTCTATCGCGGTGACGAAGGCGCAAAATTCATACGTTTTTTGACTTATTCATAAGAGTGTGATATTTCTTGTGGCAGGCGCTGTAGTGTAACGCTCAGCCCCCAAGTAGTATGAATCAGTCGGAATAATTTTCGTTTCTATGGCCCTCGAAGTTTTACGATGTTTAAAATTGGTGAAGGGCTTGTAGGTATTGGGGGTGTATGAAAGAATAGAAAAAATCCTTTCAGCTTTGCGGCTAGTACATATACAGCGTTCTCTCGTAAGAAGTTTTCCAAAACTGGAGGTGATATGGTAGGTTAGCACATTAAATCAGCACATTTTCCAGACTATAGAGTACTGAGAGCTAAAGATTGGAAACGAAAGATTTTCAAGCTATACAGATGAACAGTTGAAAAAGATCTTCGACGTTGTCCCAAAACTAGCTGGACTATTTTAGAGCTGCACATACTCATCGGAGATCACCTTGAAAAAGGGCAGGGCTAGGGTCAAGCGTGGGTATGGCACGGCCACCTGGGGGATCGTATAAGTTGTCAAAGGCAAGGGGATTCGTAGTTTTAAAGCTGCACATACTCATCGGAGACCACCTTGAAAAAGGCAGGGCCAGGGTCAAGCGTGGGTTTGGCACACCACCTGAGGGATCGTATAAGGTGTCAAAGGCAAGGGGATTCGTAATTAAATAATACTGATGATAATGAGAACATGTTACTCGTGAGCGGTGTTTAAGTACACTCGAGTAGATTTTCCGCTTAATATAGTGTGCTTGCACAGAGGGTGAAATGAGGTGAAATGTGCGCGTGAGCAAGTAGCCAGGCCAGTAATGCCGACATTATGCGCGCGCAATTGGCCAGCGTCACAGCCGAAACTACTTGTTCACGCTTAAATTTTACCGCATTTCACCTTCTGTGCAAGCAAACTATATTAAGCGGAAAATCTACTCGAATGTCACCTCTTTATGGAAATATGCGCATGAGATATTGACTTTTTATCGTATACCTACACCGTAACATGATAAAGGGACCCTACCAAGCATAATGAGTAACATCTTCATAATTAGCCAAATAACTCAAGTCTGGACCAAGCTTGTGCTAATTGTGAAGTCTCCAAATGCTGAGCTACCTCGGTGAAGTGGTCATTTTCGAACACGAATAACTTTGTTTCAAAATGAACCAACTGCCTCTTTTGGCATTCAATACAAAGCAATACTCCTTCTTTACTTATCTCATGGTAAAATATCCCGCTTTAAAGAACCTCTAAGTGAAAATTCGGAACCTCTTTTCCCACTTTTCGCTTTTGATGGCTATAGTTTCACCAACTATCACTCACAAGGAAATGGTTAAAATTTGAAGTGTTCAGTCTCAGCAAACCGTATACCGTTGAACATTCCATGGAGGGCTGATTACATATCCTCCTTCGGTACCTGCTTATTCGGTCTTTTATACGAAATTATGGCCATCGATTTCGTCGTTTGCCGCTGCGCGTCATAAACACTCGTCGCTCAGTTTGACGAAGCTAGAAGTCAAGCAGGACGCAAAGCGCAGTGGTAGTTGTGCAGAGACATAGATGAGCCCCGGGTTTTGTTTGTAAGTTCGATTCCATTTGTTTGGTACTCTTTTGCAACCCATTCCTAATATCTGTATTGTTAGCGCAAAGTCCCTGACGCAGTCAAACTGTAATTTAACGTCTAAAAACTTCGAAAACTTAAAATTTTTATAAATCACACTCTCCTAAGAACTGAAAATGATCATGGTGAAAGCACAAGAATAAAAATGTTGATGAACAAGATCGAACAGACCAAGCAGCAAGAAAGAGAAAGCTAAAAACTGCACTCTTGTACTTGTACTCTCAAAATAAAAAAATGAAGTTTTTGTCCTTCAATGTTGAATTATCTTTTTGACCGCGTTAGGCCTCGGACAGAGTTAACGCGATTTGATCGTCGCGATTCAATCGCTGCAAGACAAGTGTTACGAGTTTATTGATGCTGACTTTCTTGTATTTCGGTTGTGATAGTTATCACGATTAGTCGTGTTGGAGAACTATTACAATCGAAATGCAGGAAGATCGGCATGCAATGAACTCGTAGCATTTGTCTGTAGCGATTGAATCGCGACGATCAAATCGCATTAACTCTGCCCGAGGCCTTAGAGACTTCGCGCTAACACATTAGATAGTGCGAATTAGTTGCAAAAGAGTAGCAAGCAAAATAGAATGAACTTGCAAACAAAACCCGGGGCTCTCATCTTATGGGTCTGCACGCTTACCACTGCGCTTTGCATCCAGCTTGAATTCTAGCTTTGTCTAGCAGGATATCAACGGAATCGAGGGCCATAACTTTGTGTAAAAGACCGATAAAATAGATACAGAAGCCGGATATGTAAGTCCTCCATAGAGTGATTAACGGTGTAAGGTTTACTGGGATTGGTCACTTCAAATTGACCATTCCTTTGTGAGTAATGGTTGGTGAAATTACAGCCATCAAAAGCAAAATTGGAGAAAGCAAGATTTTTATTTACTGGCCTATAATTTCACAATTAGCAGGTTTTGAAGCGGGATTTCTGAGATAGGCAAAGGAGGAGCAGTGCTTTGTATTAAGTGCCAAAAGAGATAGTAAATTCACCTTTGCAACAAAGTTAAACATTTTCGATAACGACCATTTCAACCATGGCCCAGTATTAGTAAACTTCAGAATTCGCACAATCCACAGGGGTTACTGCTAATTGTGGATAAATTACTCATTATGTTTGGTAGACAAGTTATGCCTATCTTAGGTGCACTGTAGCTCTGAAGGGTCTTATGAGACAATATAGGGGGGGGGGGGTCGTTTCTAGCGATCATGCCAGACCTTTTATTTGGTCTTGGGCAGGGCAATAAGTCTCTACAAGTAATACTCTGCCAGCCCTTTTAAAAACGAGAAAGTAGGTTGGCTTTGCAACTGAGCTGTTGTTTGAGTAGAGGAGAACCTTTTGAGACTGAGTCGCGTCTGATATAAAGAAATTACACAGGATAACAGGAAGCGGAAACACCAGAAACGCGCTTGAGAAACGAAAGTCACGCAAACAATGTGGTGATTAGAAACTGATGGAGTTCGCCGTTGCAGTAGCATGCAGTAGCTTTGATGGGACTTGGCAGGACAGTCAAAGGAAAGTGGGATCGCGTTTCGGAGACAAGACCATTTATCAAGACCAGCAATGCAAGGCGAGCAGATAATTCATGGCGATGCTACTTCTCGCCTAAACGGTGAGAAATCTAAGACGCATATAGGACACAGAAATCCGATTTGTTTTTGATTCCTACAATTTCTTTCTGATAAATTTTCCAGTTTTCTGAGGGTCAAGATATAGCTACCCTATTTAGCAGTGAAAGCCCTTATCCAGCTTTGAATTCCTTGGCTCACTCCACGTGAAAAGAGAATAAGAAAACCTCCAGGATTTTTGCAAGTGTGTGCTGTGCTGAACACGCTGACGCTAATCTGGGGCGTTTATCAATGTCCAACTCGCTTATTCGGGCCATTATTAACGAGTGCCCTAACAGACGAAAGCGCCAATCGCGTGATTCACCAAACTTCAGAATGTGGTCCAATCTAGCAAGTTTGGCCGTGTCGGGAAGCAGAGCCCGATCTCGACAGGTCGGGCTTATTATATTCACCAGTTGACAGAAGCCCGATCACCAGCTTGGCTTCGTGTATCGCGGGGCCAGTGCACGCGTGGGCTGTTACATGTACAGGAATCACCTTCCTAAATAGGGGATTGGAAAATACCCCTAAGTGATCGTCGCCTTCCCGGTGTACGTTGGGCTAAGCGTTTGCAGACATCCGAACGCGTTAGCGACTTATCAAAACTTTACTGCAAAGCATGGTTCTTTGCGCTCTCTAAACTGCCACGTATATATGCTGTTGTCATAAGTGGCAGATTGGTGGTGAGAGGTTGTAAAGAACAACTTGTAGTAAAGAGTGAACAAGTTTACCAACGTGTTCAGATGTCTGCAAACGCTTCGCCCAATGTACACCGGAAAGGAGACGATAGCAAGATGAACAGAAGTGCGCTGTGAAAATGCGAAAGTGAATGAAAAACTCTCAATTTGATTCAATATTTATGGGCACTCGACATCATTCGACCAAATGACTCCTTCTGTATTGTAGTAGCGGAATATTTTCAAGATGCGGACACCTTTAGTAAAATCTACCACTGAATTTGCTCCGAGAGTATATTTACGTCCGCCTTTTCTTCAACTCACGAAAAATACTGTGAATTGCAGAGACCATTCTAAGTGAGA